ACTGGACATCACTACCTGAATTTATGACACAAGCTCTTTGAACTCATATTCAAAATAAAAGCTATTTCCACACATGCTCCTCTTTGCCTCCCCAAATCTGTTATTAGGATTATTATCTACCTGTCTATCTAAGCTAGAATCTTAGGCCCATACTTGACTTTTCCCTACCATGATCTAATCAGTCACTATTGAGTTTACCTCCTATATAAACTAAAAAAGGAAAGAGAAAGATTTATTTATTTATTTAAAAGAGAGAGAATGCAAGCAGGGTGAGGAGCAAAGGGAGAGAGAGAGAATCCTCAAGCAGACTCCCTGCCAAGTGCAGAGCCTGACCCAGGGCCCAATCCCAGGACCCTGAGATCATGACCTGAGCCAGACACTTAACTGGCTGAGCCACCCAGGCACTCCCTACATAAACTTCTTAATCTGTCTTGTCCATATCCACTGCCTTTCAGTCATTTATCATTTCTGGGCTGGAGCACTGCAGTAGCTTCTTAACTAGCCTCCGTCTTCATTCTTTACATCCTCCACACTATTGCTAGATTTGTTTCTAAAATACTTCGTACTGTACCACTAACTTGGTTAAACCATCACTTAGCTATCTTTGTCTTTAGCAGCATTCCCCAAAGTTTCATATGTGAACCCTTGGTATTGAGACAATTTTAGGTGGTAGATGGGCAAATATTTTTAATTTTAAAATTAAAAAAAAATTTTATTTATTTATTTGAGAGAGAGAGAGCATGAGAGATCACCAGTAGGAGGTAGGGGCAGAGGGAGAAGCAGACTCCCTGCTATGCAGGGAGCCTGAAAGGCAGACGCTTAACTGACTTAGCCACCCATTTTTCATTTTTATTTAGTTATAGCCTAATCTGAAACTGTCATAGAAAAAAATACAGATTTTACATTTATGCCAGTGATATTTAAATTCAGTATAAACAAGTCAGTCTACTTAAGGAAAAATACTAATCAAGGAACAGCATGGGGGACTATCTGTGATTGAGAAAAATCATGAATACTCAAATACTTGAAGTTGAGAAATTATTGCCTACAGGATAGAATTCCAAAATTCTTAGCATGGCATACATTTTGGCCCCAACCTGTACTTTCAGCTTTATCTCCTAACCACACAGCATCAGGCAAACAGAATTTCTTGCCATTCTGGGATCTGTTCCTTCAATAAGTATGTATCAAATGTCTGTGAGCCAGACACTGGTCTAAACTGTTAAGGATATCATAAATAAGAGTGTCTGCCATAAGGATTACACTCTAATGGGAAATCAACAATAAACAAGATAGAAAGTAAACAAGGTTAATTAGATCAGCATTTAAGCTCTGTGAAGGAAATAAACACAGTGACAGATAATAAAGTAGAGAACCCTTCGATTCTGGTAGTATTTTGGGGAGACCTAAAGGATGAGGCTGAATGAGCCATGTGAAGAGCTGGAGCAAGAGCATCAGGAACAGGAAGTTCTAGAAGTCCTGAGATGGGAAAGAGACAACATAATTGAGGGAAAATATAGGGAGAGCTTAATGAGAGGGAATTTGGTGATGGAAGTTGTTGTAAAGAGGCAGAGCAGGTGGTGTTTGAATTTTATTCCAAGTGCAAAAATAAGGAAAGGTTTTTGGTAGGGATGTGACCAGCTGATTTTTACAAAGATCACACTACCTACCGTGGTGAATGGGTTAGTGTCTCCTAGCCTCAGTACAAGTGCTTCGCCTGGAAAACTACCCAGTCTAAAAGGCCCAGTTCAAATGGAAGCCTTCTTATTCCCAGTCCTATTATAAACTTCCTTCATACTGCCATAACAATTTTATGACAGCAATTATCACTCTCATAATATAGATAAAATGATTGTTAATAATGTAATTATTTTTCCCTCTATTGCCAGCACCTTCTCTTATTAGATATACACATTATAACTGTTTGATTAAAAAATTAATAAGTAAGTGAATGTGCAGTCCACTATCGTTGAAGGCCTACATCAGGATTGCAGAATCTGGGGGCAAATTTTTTTAACATGAAAGGTTTTTAACATGAAATACCTGCACCATTCCCGAAGATGCTAAAGTCCCTATTTTGTTTACAGCTATGATTTTTTTTCCCCCTTAATTTCCGGAGGTGGTGGGTGTTAGGTCCCCCCCAAAATGGGTACCCCAATAATAGGTCTGTGACTAAAGGAGCGAGACTGATACAAAGCAAAAGTCAAGCAAAGCTTTATTTCATGCCAAGCATCAAGAATCAGACTGACCGTCAAACAGACCAGTCAGGGACGCCCCTTACAGAGGACAACCCCTCCTTGCTTTCCAGACTAATTTTTATAGAGCAAAGGCCATGTGGTTGGGCCTGGCCACACACAGGTGGCTAACTGAATTACAATTCACCCCACAGTAGCCATGGAAACTAGCCCATCACCTAGGTAGCTAGGAGACAGTATGCGCTCCCACTGATTCAATACCTCCACCTGGCCTGACCCACCCTTGTACTTGGGCTTTGTTACCTGGAGCTAGTTTCGGGGACTTGTTTTTAAGTCCCCTGGGTGAAGGGGAGCAGGGACTGTTTAAGGGTTAAACAACAAAGTTATTGTTTAACCTCAATGGAAGCCTCTGGCTAAAAATATAAAATAGGTCCTTAAAGTGGGAAGAGTTTGAGAGTTTATCTTAAAAGAAGAAGAAAAAAAAAAAAAAAGCTGCAGCAGCAGCTTATACCTGTCTCACCAATCCTAGTTCAGGGACAACCAGGTCTGTTAGTTTCCTTGAGAGAGGCATTCGGTGCTGCATGAACCAGAAGCAGCTTTTTGAGCCACCATTGCTGACTGAACTATTTTAAAAAATGTTACATCACAGGTCCAGCTACTCCTCAGAACAGCGTACGGGTCTAGAATTTTTTAGAGCGAAAGACATTCTTCAAGTTCCATTTCCTAGTATGGAGTCCAAGGAGACGGAAAACAATCTTCTAATAAAGAAATTAGGCAGTGCCTCGCTGTCAGTAGTATTTCTCCTCGGCTGCCCTAATCAGTAGGAGGAGACCGTTGCATACACCTAACCGCTAGCTGTCCCTTAGAGCGCTGTTCCATTCAGGCCACCACCTACTCAAGATGGCTACAAGAACACTTCCGTCATCTTCCCGAACTAGGCCCGCCTTCATGTGCGTATTTTCACCGCGCCGGGGGCGGGACTCAGAATTAGCTTTTGATTGGGCAACTTAACCAGCGACCTTTCCCCTCCGCGACAGTTTCCCGAGGTGCCTAGTGCCTGAGCGGCACGGGCGAGAGTAAGAAGGCAGGCAAGATGGCGGACGTGCTGGACCTTCATGAGGCTGGGGGCGAGGATTTCGCCATGGATGAGGATGGGGACGGTGAGGACAGTGGAGGCGGCTGCGGGAAGCGGGGAAGGTGCGAGAGAAGGGAGTTAATAGGAAAATAATTCCCTTTCCTGGCAGGGAGGATGGGAGTCGGGGAACCGGGTTTCAGTTGGATTAGAGAGTGCGCCCCCTTCGGGAGAAATGGGGGCGGGGCCGGGAAGGGAATGGGACTGAAGGTGGTGTGGGGCTGCTTTCAGATCTGTCTCTAAAGAGACTATTGGTACAAATACCCGTTATTTTTGTTACTCATTCTTTTACTTCTGGGGCTCCAGAGAGCATCCACAAACTAAAAGAAAAGGCGAAGAAACGGAAGGGCCGCGGCTTTGGCTCCGGTGAGTGTTTGTGGGGAAAATGGGTCTAGAATGGCGACAGATACGAGTTTTGGAGTCCCCGTTCAGACTCATGTCGAACAGTGGGAGAATGGATTTCTGGTGATCTCTTGTATGTTCCCTATAGAAGAAGGGTCTCGAGCGCGGATGCGTGAGGATTATGACAGCGTGGAGCAGGATGGTGATGAACCTGGACCACAACGCTGTAAGTAAAATGGAGCCTGTAGGGATCTGTGTTTGTAGTGAATTATGGACCAATGAAATAAAGTCCAGTAGGAATGGGGTCGGATATACCTTAACCAATCTCAGGAATCCCCTCTTATTTCACTCTTGTGATCTTGCTTAAAGTTTTTCTCTTGTGCTCAAACCTCCCTCCCTTCCCCAACAGCTGTTGAAGGCTGGATTCTCTTTGTCACTGGAGTCCATGAGGAAGCCACTGAAGAAGACATCCATGACAAATTTGCAGAGTATGGGGAAATAAAAAACATCCACCTCAATCTGGACAGGCGTACAGGATACCTGAAGGTATCCTAAGTGATACCCTATTGCTTCTCTTCCCCCATAACCTTTAGACAGCATTGATAATTCTCCCATGTTTGCTGTGATTGACCAAGAGCAAAGTTGAAATAAAATGAGATTGAAAATTGATTTTGTCAGACATAGCAAAGAGACGGAAGCATTTTGTATATACAATAAGGATATATGAGGTATATTTGTTGTTTGAAAGGTACAGAATTTTGTATTTGGGTATGAGTTTAGATTTGAGGAAGAAGATGCTTAGGTAGTGTTTGGTGGAATATGAGGGTTTTGATCTCTGTCTTTTCTCTTGTCCCAGGGGTATACTCTAGTTGAGTATGAAACATACAAGGAGGCCCAGGCTGCTATGGAGGGACTCAATGGCCAGGATTTGATGGGACAGCCGATCAGTGTGGACTGGTGTTTTGTTCGGGGTCCACCTAAGGGCAAGAGGAGGTAAAGTGGAGAGGGCAAAATCTTGGTGAAGGGATCATGAGCAAAACAGAATAAGGACGTTGTATTATGTTCTCTGATGGGCCCTTCCTTTTCCCTAGAGGTGGCCGAAGACGCAGCAGGAGTCCAGACCGGAGGCGGCGCTGACGGGTCCTCTGTTGTCCAGATGTTCTCTCCAGAGATTCTGTTTGACCATGCAGCCTTGGAGAAATAGGGCTGGGATGGAACTCACCATGTTTATATTTAATCTCTCACCCTACTTGCTTAGTGGGTTTTTTTTTTTTTTTTTTTTTTTGAGTTACGAATAAATGTCCCATTTTTGTTTTGTACATTTAAAATTATTTTCCTCTTCTAACATTGCAAGTTCCGAAGCACTCTTTACAGTAAGGCAGTATAGGTCACTGTTAAGATGCTTCTAGGGCCTCAATTCTGTGTGAATTTCTACATTAAATATAGTCTCAAGTCTTAGCTAGGATCAAAGTAGAGACACTGCTCAGTACTTCTTTTTCTTGGAAGCTAAGAGAGCAGGGGTGGAAGTGATGTGTCCTTGTGATATTAAAGCATAATTATTTTGTTCCTATATACTCTGTACCATGCAGATGGATGTTATAGGAATGTCTCTTTTGTTTCTTCTGTCCTTCCTGCTGCCATATTTGTTTGTACTTGCAGCTGTCTAAGGGCTTGAATATCCCGTTGGGACATTCTCTCAGAACCTTTTTCCCTGGAAGAGTCTGTACTGACTTCTTCTTGCCTTCTTTGGCAGCCAAGGGTAAAGGCCCCATAGAGGAGAGGATCCAGAGGAGCATTGAGGAGGCCAAAAAGGAAAAGGATGTGGCTGAGGCTTGGGGGGACTTCGGTTAGCATGGTGGGAGAGAACCAGTACCACAGGCCCAGCAGGTAATAAGGTGTCCAGCAGAGGATGAAAGTCACCAAGACGAGTAGGGCCAGTCGCAAGGCCCACAGACGAACACGGGAGCGATTGTCTAAGGAGCGACGGAGGGCAAATTGACCGGCAGGGGCTGGGAATTTAGAAAACATACTCAAATTCAGAACCATTCAGCTTCTGAATTGAGTGTAGGATGGACAGGCAGGGATGGTGAGCTGGAGTTCTCCTGATACAAGGAAGAGAATGTAGCAAATAGGAGGTAATGTTACACATCCTCTTCCCTTCCCAGATTGGGACTAAATGCTCCCCTCTTCTCCCCCAGGGATTATGACAGACATGCTGGAGGAAAGGTTTTGATTGGGGTATGGTGTTAGGAAGCTACTGAGACTACCCGGAGACCTGATGGTATCTAAGACTAAAGGAGAATATTGATCACCTTTCTCCTTAATCCTTGCCCAGCTAACTCAACAATGGAGGGTGGCTAGAGGCTGGTTAGAATTGAAGGCATTTAGAATATACTTGCAGCATCAGATGCTAGAGGGATGGTTACGATGTCACTTCTGGTTTGATAGAAAACTATGAGATCAGTAAATGAGGCTAGAGGCAATAGTTCTGAGGGTATGGCTTAGGGCCTGGGGATTGGAGTCTCACCATGGTTCCTCTTCTTTGTCTGGGGACTAGACACACTGAGGACAATGCGGCAATAGCAGATGGTCATGGCAGTCAGTGGCAGCAGAAAGAGGCAGAAGAAGGTGAAGAGGATATAGGTGATTTCTTGCCATCGAGCCTTGAAGCTGCCTTTGGTGACACACTGAGTGAAGGGGACTGGGCCAGCTCGGTGGACGGTGTGGAACAGGAACAGCTGGAGTGGAGTTTGAGGACTATTAGAAGTGGTCCTCATTCATCCTTCTCACTAGTCATACTTTCCCAGTTCATCCTTAATTCTCTGCAGAGCTGGGTAGTGCTGAGTTCATCTATAGTGCCATATTTAAAAGGTTAAAAACTTGAGAATCCGTTTTCCCTTTAGGCTACGGAGCTAATCATTAAGTTTGTTAAATCCTGGGATTTAAAGAATCTTGCCTTCGCAAGTACTGTTCTAACGTTGCACTTCGTAAAATTTCTACCACCTCACCAATATTTTTAGCTGAAGTGCTTTCTTTTTTTTTGATGTGTCTAATTCTGTGGAAAAAGAAATTTTGTATAAAATGGGTGCTGCTAAAATTTCAGGCCATTTTGCAGCCACTCTGTGAAGTGACCTTTAGTGATAGTCTTATGTACAATAATTATAACAGTGAAACAATGTTAAGTAATAAAATTTAACATTTTCCAAATGCTGTTGGCTGCCCCTCCCCCTTTTTGGTAAATTGCTGAGTTTTTGGTTTGAATCCTAAAGAGTATTTTTCAGTTAAGAGCTTCAGGGTTAACACCTTGGTTCAGATAAGGCAGACTGAGTCACTATTAGTTTGATAAAAGGCAAACTTAGTGGTCTTGGATTCCCGATATAAGGCATTTGGGAAAGTGATTTCAGCAATGAGGGACTTTTAGGAAAGGTGAATAGTATCAGCCACAGACACAACTGAATGGCTTGGGGTTAAGATCAGCTTACTCTGAGCTAGCTGGGGAATGGTTTTTCCCCTTCCCATCTTGAGTCCATATATTTGTAGGTTTTTGGGTTGGTTGGTTTTGTTTTGCACTGTCCCTAGATATATCTGACAGATTGTGAAAAGGGGTTTAAAAATAGGCAAGGCTTCTGGACTTAGAGTTTGGTCTGTACTTCTGCCTTTCCTTCCCCCTATTATATGCAGTTTACCACCTATTATATAAAGCTTCCTTTCAACCACTTGTGATACTTAGAAACTTGAGCCTTCAAAGATATTTGACTTTTCCAGTACTCCCTCACCACACTAACACCACACTTAAGAAAAGGGTTTTTTATTGACATATTAGTCCTGGAAGGCAGGATTAATATTTTAAATAGAACATATGGTAATGCAGAATTTATACAAGAGGATGCTAATTTGGAACCAAAAATACCATCTTTTGCACATGTATCATAATGTTATCAGTTTGCCATTGAAGCAAATGGAGATTACAGTTGTCAGAATGTAACAAAGGATGAAACTCCTATCCAATATCTTGTGGCCAATAGGTTTCAAGTGATTTAGCCAAAGTCATACAGCTAGTTAGTAGTAGACCTTAGACTCAGAAAAAAACAAAAAAATGCAACAGAAACAGGCTTCTACCTCCCAGTCCACATCTAAAATTTGCTTCATATAAACAACTTTAATACCTTTTGCACTGAGGCAGCAATGCTGCTTTTTAAAGCTTTGGGTAGCAGAAGTTCCTGCTTGCAACATTGTTGGAAGCATTATTTTTTGCCTTAGAACTATAGTCAGACTAACTTTCGGTAGTTCTATTTCTAATATTTGAGGATTTAGGGATCAAATTTTAAATCTGATTCTATAATGCATTATTCCAGAGCCCCTTCTAGGTAGAAAATCCTAGTCCTGGTCTCCCAAGATGCTGCTCTACTCCTTCCCCCAGAGGGTGATGTGGTTTTGATTTTTGGTCTTAAAGGAATTGCTTCATATTTCCTTTTTTTCTATGTTTCTAGTTCATTATCAATACACAAGATGTGATAACTGGTACTCAAGTTCAGGTGCTCTGTTTTCTTTCCAGTTTTCACGATAAAGCTAGAGTAAAAAATACAAATCTGATATGTCACTTTCTACCTTTTACCTTAGTCTCTCTCCACTGTCCTCAGGAAAAAGTACAAGCTTAATATCTGGAACCTGGCTCTTCCTTCCCATCCAGGCTCATTACTCACCCATTTTCTAGCCCTCAACTTTAGCTACAACTACTTTGAATTCCTCTACCTTCCACCCTCCCCAGCATTCCTCCTGCTTTAACTTGTCTAAAGCCTCTCTTATTTTAATAAAATAAAAAATCAGTTGTAATGTCTTTGAGAAGTTTTCCCTGACTGTCCAAGAGTGCGTCAGACATCCTCATTGTTCTTTTAGCTTCTATGGTTACCTTTAGTATAATGCTTGACTGCATACTGTATTATAATTACATACTAATATGCCTTCTGCGCTAGTCTGAGTTTCCTGAATGCAGCTCTTCACTGCTCAGTCCTTGATAGAGCATTAGAGTGTGTCTAGGGGTGATGTACATTATTTTTTGAGTGGATCAGTGACTACCGCAGAGTTTTAACCAAAGCCCCTGACTTCACTATCTTCTTTGTAGACCCACACACGTTTCATCCCTACAGTTTTCTGCAACAATCTGCTAAAAAAGCTGATGCAAAGAGGTGAAAGCCAAGCATAGGGAAACAAAGCTAAAGGAAGAGGCATAGATAGGGTACTACTTTGAAGACAAAGGCTCTTAATAGAGATACAGATTAACATGCAGTGATCTTAATTTGCAAAACAGCAGAGGCTCCCCTCTGAGGATTAGTGGGTGACCATGGTCAAGCACACCGCTAGACTCCAAGCACTCATGTTGTTTACCCAGATTCTTGTCACCTCTAGCCTTGGGTCCCAACAAGTCACTCACCTGGGGCAAGGCAAGCAGGAAACTAAGTCCCCAGGCTGTCCCTAGAAGTTTCCTTCCAGCTGGGCGGGGTCCAAGCAGGTGGAGTATGGCTGCCTGACGGTCAAGTCCAATGACCACAGGCAGGAAAGCTGCAGCATACATGGCCATTAGTTTCAGGAACATGAGTGTCCAACATGCAATGTCCCCGGCCAGCCACTGAACAGTGATATTCCAGATGGCATCTAGAGGCATAACCACAAAAGTGACTAGTAAGTCAGCAGCTGCTAAGTGGGCAAAGAGTCGTCGTACAGGGGAGGAACGGAGTCAGCTGGCTTGTGGCCGAGTCACTGACCACAGGACAGCCAGGTTCCCTCCAGCTGAAGAAATGAATAGCACAATACTCACTCCCACTCGGACCTTGGCTTCAGCTGAGAAGGTGGGCAGCTCTGAGCCCTCTACCTCTACTCCTGATCCCGCCCAGACCTCCTCCTCCGCTAACCCCCAGGGGTGCCATTGCCTGCAGACATGGTGACCTGGAAGGGAAAGGGGTGGGATGATGAAGTGTAAGTATGAAGAGGTGAGCTTCGTCCACTGATTCTTCGCCCTCCTCCTTATTAGGATCTGAAGCTGGTTATTGAGAGCTTCGTCCATTAAAGCCTCTGTATCTGGAGACTCTCCATCTGTGTCCTGGAGGTCACCTGCCCAACTGCCAGCGTCCCGCAGGGAACAGGGATCTGGTGCTGGCTTCTACTTCCATAGACTTCTTTAGCCCCTACAGCCCTGGGTTCGGCCGCAGCGCATGTGTGCGTGTGTGTTTGTGTGTGTGTTAGGGGTGTTTGGGAGCACCCCAGGGACAACCCCAACCCAGCCTCGCAGGCGAGATACTGCGGTGCCTTTTCGCCCCGCCCCTACTGCAAGCCCCGCCCCGGTCCTGAATATTTAAAGAAGAATGTACGGCCGGAGGCGTGCTTAGGAAATAGTGGCCATCCGATAAGGGTATGCTCTGACGGAGACACACCAAAAAACACGCCGGTATTGGTCCAGAGACACACGCTTCTTGATCTAGATTCCGAGGCCGGTCCCCTTCGCTTTCTTTTCTAGCGATGTTTGTCCTTCGCGAGACACCGTTGATTGTCCAGGAGGCGTGACTAGGGGCGGGAAGTGGGGCGGGAGCGGGGTTGCGGAGCCGGGGCTGCCGCTGTCATGGACGCCTGGGTTCGCTTCAGTGCTCAGAGCCAGGCCCGGGAGCGGCTGTGTAGGTGCGGCCCGAATAGGAATGGGGGTGGGGACAGAGGAGGATCCTCGTGAGGCGAGGTCCGTTCATACTACGGGGGTCAAAAAGGGTCAGCTCGGGCTACGGGGGCCCGGACGGACCGCCAGGCGCTGATTTGAGCGGGCCGTGAAGAGATGATTCGTTATTGCTCACCTGAAAGATGGGGAAACTGAGGCACGAGTGGCCCAGCGGGGAGGCCGCTCAGGGTGGCCATGTCCACATAAGACCTACACTTTACTCACTGGGCGGTGGTGGCGTGAGGAGCATTCGCCCCGCTGTGGATAGCCGGACTCTGCCCCCCAGGGCTGAGTGGCTCTAAGTTCCCTTGTCCCCTCACCCTGTTGTCATCCGGGAACTCCTCTGCCTCCTCCTTGTCTTCCGGTTTCGATTCAGCTAGAGGGCTGAAACCTCCTAGTTAACCTACTCTGAAGAATAATCTCTCCACCTGTCCCCCACTCCCTTATATGTCAGGTATATACTAACACTGATGTGCTCATGATGGGCCGACCCCCCTGGTGCCTTCACAGTCTACTTCAGACTTCATCATTGTCAAATCTCTTATTTTCTCAACTCCAAATAATGCCCCCAACTCCTTTTCTAGGCTGCTTTTTATCCTTACGCCTTTCCCTTCCCCTGGCCTGAAGGAGAAACGGTAAGAAATGGGCATAAAGAGAAGGAAAGGGAATGTTCACAAATGGGGAAAAGGGGAAGTCAGTACTTTCCTTTTGGAAGACATTTTTGAGAGGTAGCTTAGGGATGTCTCCACCTTACCTTGCCTGGCCTCTTCTCCAGGGCCGCCCAGTATGCCTGCTCCCTTCTTGGCCATGCACTTCAGAAACATGGGGCCAGTCCGGAATTACAGAAGCAAATTCGACAACTGGAGGGTCACCTGAGCCTAGGAAGAAAGCGTAAGTAACCATGCTTTTGTTTTATTACTCCAACACTTCCTCCGTTCCCCAGTTTCTCCCTTAGCCCTTCCTTCCTGTTCTTGACCTTCTCTGCCAGTTCTTACCCCTTATTTAGGTCTGCACTTACCCTCTGCATGCCTCTTGGTTGAGATAAGAGAGCAGGGGTAAGAGACTAGTGAAGGATGGAAGAGAATGGGGCAAGTTGGAGAAAACCAAACTGAAACACAAATAAAAATTTGAAGAAAAAAATTTTTTGAACTGTTTCTCTTTTTAAAAAAAAATTGTAATTATTGTTTCTATCACTTCTCAACTTTCACCTTCTTGCTTTCTCTTTCTCTGTGTCTCACTCTCTGTCTCTACTTCCAAATCCTTGCTTCTCCTTACTAATCTCCACAAGTTCTACGTCTGGGTAACTCAGCGGATGCTCTTGAGTCAGCCAAACGAGCTGTGCACTTATCAGATGTTGTCCTGCGATTCTGCATCACCGTTAGTCACCTCAATCGAGCCTTGTACTTCGCCTGTGACAATGTCCTGTGGGCTGGAAAATCTGGACTAGCCCCTCGTGTGGATCAGGAGAAGTGGGCCCAGCGTTCATTCAGGTTTGATATCCTTTTATCCTACAAGAACTTTTGTTTTTTCCATACTGCATAACTTGCCTTTTATGAGCAAAAGATCTTTCAGGGTCTTCCCAGAATATACACATCTTAATCACTCGGCTTCCAATCTTCATTTAGATTTTAAACTATCAGAGAATAATGAATGGAGGCAGATGGAAGACAGATGCTCTTCCATGATGAATGACTAAGATTGGGCAAGATAAGTTATTCTTTGCTTTAAATCTGCTTCTATCTATACCACAGGTTATGCCTCTCACTGCCTGCTTGTTCTTTCATTCTAAAAATATTTAGGAAGTGCTTACTATGGGCTAGAGAATAAAGCAGAGAGTCAGATATGGTTCCCATTCTCACTAAGCTTCTAGTCTAGTGGGGGAGTCATATTAAGACAACTACCAAACCAGTTATTTTTGGAAATGTACAGGTGTTATGAGATATATAACAAAGGGAGCTGATTTGGATTGAAAAGCCAGGGAAGAACTCTTTGAGAAGTAATGTTTTAGTTCAGACTTGAGGTGTGAATACAAGTTGGTCAAAGCAAACAGTAGCAGAGAAGAACTTCTCAGACAGAAGATATCCCATTCTAAGGCTTCAAACCAAGAAAATTTTTGTCAAATTAGAGAAATAGAAAGAAAGCCAGCATGATGGAGAGTGCTGAGTGAAGGACATAAGTTTGAACTGGAGATGTGGAGGGGACCAGTTCATTCATGCCAGGCCTCTTTGGCAGTGGTAGGATTTTTTGGTTTAGTTTTGTTTAAATTTTATCCTAAGTGCAATGGGTTCTGAACAGGGATGTGACATGATTCAAATTGTGTTTAAAGAAGATGTCTCTTGCTGTAGTGGAAAATGGATTGCAGTAGGGCAGAAGAGGAGGAGATGCCCTAATATGGTCAAGAGATGATGTTGGCTTAGACTAAGGTGCCTCCCAGGTGCCCCTAGGTTTCCTTTAAAATGGGATGGGGGGGGGCACCTGGGTGGCTCAGTGGGTTAAGCCTCTGCCATCGGCTCAGGTCATGATCCCAGGGTCCTGGGATCGAGCCCCTGCATCCTGGTCTCTGCTCAGCGGGGAGCCTGCTTCCCTTCTTCTCTCTGCCTGCCTCTCTGCCTACTTGTGATCTGTCAAATAAATAAAATCTTTAAAAAAATAAAATAAAATGAAATAAAATAAAATAAAAATAAAATGGGATAGGAAGGAAGCCATGGAGAGTTTTAAGAAGGGGAGGTAAACGGGGCGCCTGGGTGGGTCAGTGGGTTAAGCCTCTGCCTTCGGCTCAGGTCATGATCTCAGGGTGATCGAGCCCCGCATCGGGCTCTCTGCTCAGCGGGGAGCCTGCTTCCCCCTCTCTCTCTGCCTGTCTCTCTGCCTACTTGTGATCTCTGTCAAGTAAATAAATAAAATCTTTAAAAAAAAAATTAAAAAAAAAAAGAAGGGGAGGTAATGATGTGATTTATTATGTGAAATTAGATTGTTGGGTGCAGGGGCAGAGTGGCCATGGAGAGACAAGTTACATGACTAAAGTGGTAGTTTGAGCAAGAGGTGCTTGTGGCTGAGACTGTGCTGGTGGGGTGTGAGAGGAAGATGTGATTGGATTCAGGATGTGTTTTGGAGGTAGGACAATTATATTGAGTACAGACCACTATTGTCAGAGTGGATTTAAAAAAACATGGACCGTTGGAGTGCCTGGGTGGCTCAGTCATTTGAGCATTGGACTCTTGGCTTGTGGTCAGGTCACGATCTCATGGTTGTTCGGTTGGTCATGGGATCTCATGAGCCCCCTTCACTCCCCACCTTGGGCTGCTCAGTGGGAGTCTGCTTCAGATTCTTTCTCCCTCTCCTGCTGCCCCTCCTCACTCATGCTCTCTCTCTAAAATAAATAAATGAAATCTTAAAAAAAACAAACAAACCATAACTGTTCATTGGTTCATTTGCTTGTTTTTTAAGAAGGCTCCATGCCCAGTGCAGAGCACAATGTAGGGGGGCCTGAACCTAGATTAAGACCTAAGCTGAGACCAAGTGTTGGACACTTAACTGACTGAGCCACCCAGGTGTCCCTGTTTGTTTGTTTGTTTGTTTGTTTAAGATTTACTTATTTATTTGTCATAGGCAGAGCACACAAGCAGGAGGAGTGGCAGGTAGAGGGAGACGGGGAAGAAGGCTCTCTGCTGAGCAAGGTGGTGTGGGCTGGGTGGGGAGGAGAACTCCATCCCAGGACGCTGGGATCAAGACCTGAGCCAAGGGCAAACGTTTAACCAACTGAGAGGCTGGCCAGGTGTCCCTGTTTGTTTGTTTTTTAGGTAATCTCTACACCCAACATGGGGCTCAAACTCACAACCCCAAGATGAAGAGTAACTTTACTGACTGAGCCAACCAGGAGCCCCAAACATAGACTGTTTTTAAGGAATTGATAAATCTAACACATTTAGCAAGTTGCTTAATATTTTGGGCCTCGCTTTTTGTTTTTGTTTGTTTGTTTTAACAAAAGGATGGGATTTATTTATTTATTTTTTTTAAGATTTTATTTATTTATTTGACAGAGAGATCACAAGCAGGCAGAGAGGCAGGCAGAGAGAGAGGAGGAAGCAGGCTCCCCTAGAGAGCAGAGAGCCCGATGCGGGGCTTGATCCCAGGACTCTGAGATCATGACCCGAGCCGAAGGCAGCGGCTTAACCCACTGAGCCACCCAGGCGCCCCAAAAGGATGGGATTTAAAAGATCCATAATGTGTCTGGGTCTCTGAAACAGCTGAAGCTTGTTCTCTGAAAACATTTGCATTATTATAGTTCAGGTTGAATGTGTGTGTGGCTGATGGGTTGCCAAGTGGACAACTGAAATTTAAGGGTTTTCTTGGAAGGTTTGATTATGCTTCTGACTTTAAGCCAGGATCTTAAGGTACATGTAAACACAGATTAGTTACAGAAAGCTGGGGTAGTGGACAGTAGCACTTACTGCTGGTGTTCTTATGCATAATTCCTCTGTACTTACTCTATACTGTGGGGGGAAAATGTTTAAGCCTTCTGTTTGATATGCCAAGTGGTTATATGTGCCCTTACTGACTCTTCTGGCCTGTTTATCTCAGGTACTATCTGTTTTCCCTCATCATGAATTTGAGCCGTGATGCTTATGAGATTCGCCTACTAATGGAGCAAGAGTCTTCAGCTTGTAGCCGGCGACTGAAGGGTTCTGGGGGAGGAGTCCCAGGAGGAATTGAAACTGCAGGACCTGGGAGTCCAGGAACTCCAGGAGGCTTGCCTCAGCTGGCTCTCAAGCTTCAGCTCCAAGTCCTGCTCTTGGCTCGGGTCCTTCGAGGTCATCCCCCACTTCTGCTGGATGTGGTCAGAAATGCCTGTGATCTTTTCATTCCACTGGACAAATTAGGCCTCTGGCGCTGTGGCCCTGGGATTGTGGGGCTTTGTGGCCTTGTGTCCTCCATCCTGTCTATTCTTACTCTAATCTGCCCTTGGCTACGACTCAAGCCCTGATATTCTGGTACAGGATGAGGAGGGGATCTGAATTGGTAAGACGGAGTCTAAGATCATCCCCAGTGTACCAGCCTCATTCTAATTCTACTCCTTTGTTAAAGTTAAAATGCCAAGATTTTGGGAGTAGAGGGAGGAGCTTTGGGGAAGGTGAGGTGAAGAAAGGTAACTTGTGAAGTCAATGGGATGATTCTAATGTTCAGATATTCTGGAGCTTTTGCTTTTTCCTCCTTCATTGCAATGTCTATGTCTCTTTTGACCCTTTTTACTTTGTGTTTCTTAAGTCTATATAAGATTCTGTCTCTGCATTTTTTTTCCCACCTTCTCAGTTTGCTGTCCCAGGAATTTGATCAGCAGAATTACTTTTTTTGGTAGGGGAGGTAGAAGGTCTGTAAGGTTTTAACTGCCTTCTTTTTCCTCACAAAGGCTGCTTGTGGCAGATTTTACCCCCTTCAGATGCCACCCAATCATAATTCTAGAGACTTAATGTCCCAGTGGATTCTCCCCTCATGCGCCAGAGACTGTTTGATACTTCCTCCTTCATGTCTACCTCACCAGCCTCCCTCATGACTTGGCCCTTCCCTCTACTCACACCTGCAGATTTCTTCTTACACTTTTATTTCAGGGCTTTGTTCCCTAGCCTCTTGTCACCCCTTCTTCGCCTATCCAGAAGGATGCTCTGTCTAGCATCTTGCTGTAAATATTGTACAGTGATTCTGTGTAAATAGCTGTGGCCATGCCCACAATGGAGAGCAAGCCTTCCAGGTCAACATATTAAAGATCAGTTTGCTCATCAGTATCTGGTCTGGTCCTGTGTGTTCTGGTCATCTGCAGTCTCTAATTCCTCTTACTGTGGTGTGGGTGTTCCGTGGGATTAGCCACTAATATCATCACCCAGAGACTTTTTTTGAACACCTACACTATGCAGTGTATATACTGAAGAGGTAGAGATACAAAGAGCTAAGAAGCTCCACGGTCCCAACTTTAGAAGTTTATAGCCTACTTAAGAATATGGGGTCTAATATTAAAGTAATTATACTGGTTCCACAACCCACACCCCATACCAGTTCATAATTTCTAGTCCCTCCAAAAGCTATAATGCCACAAGGCCTCAGAGTCTGATCACAGACAGAACTAAGTGAAGTACGACTGGCAAGGTTTGGTTTGTGGGCTGGCTGTGTTCACATGTTGGGACTCCCCTGGATGGGAGGGGAAATGATACCACTGTTGCCAGCTCTTTCATTTTCCATATCCCAAGGTGAGATAAATAAGGTTAAGAAGTAAAAAGTCTCTGTCTCCCACGCCTACTGTCTATTCCAAACTTGAGGAAAGCATTAACTGCCCAGCAACAGACAACAAAGGATAGAAAAAAAGGAAGAGAAAGAAACTGCAGAAGTTAAGACTTGTGCTCTTTGGATATTGAGATGATGCCTCCAGGGGGCAGCACCAGAGCAGAGAAATTAGCTAAGATCGCTCAGTCCTCCTTTCCTTGGTCTGGGGCTCCCAGGAGTTCCCACCATCACTCCTCCCATTTTATTTTTAGCTGCCAGTGGGAGGGGGCAGGATGGGAGGGAAAGTAAAGAAAACAGAAAAGGAGAGGGACAGAGGCACAGAGGACTTCTCACTCGGACAGAGAACAGACAGGCATGGAACTCGCCCTCATCCCTCACCTGCTTTTGCCAGTGATGTTCCTGACAGGTGAGGAAGGTTAACTTGGTTCCTGGTGGGGAAGGAAGGTGTATGGGTGGTTTGGCATTGGGAACGTCAAGGTTAAAATCTTTGGAGTTAGGTGATAAGTTAACACTTGATTCTGTGGGTCGTGTGTGTGTGTGTGTGTGTGCATGTTTGTGTGTTTGTGCAAGTTTTCATTCTTATGCCCGCACATATGAGTGCTTCGGGAATGAGACTGGCAGGTCCTTGGGTTAGATTTGTGTCCCATTATCTAAAATCTTTATCCTAAGCTCTGGAGGAGTGAGTGGACCAAAAGGAAGTATGATGTGACCTTCCACGTGGCTAGTCTGATTCCTATTCTCCTCCCAACTTCCTTCTACCCTTGGTGGTCTCTGGAGCCCGAGGCATAACTAACTCTGGTGAGAACTCAGTTTATCTAACCAATGAGCTACGGTTGCTAGTCATACATCCCTGCCAGTTTCCTGGATGCAAAAAGACTCACATAGAAAACACCTTTCTGAAGAGGAATGTGGTTTGAGACAGAGCTTATAGCCATGGGTGGTGGGGGTGGCCTGAGAGCTAGTTGCTTGAAAGGAGAGAGCAGGGCAGGGAAGAACCATGGGAGGGACCAGAGGCTTGGAATTTTTCCTCACCAGTGCCCTATAATCTTTGTTTCCTAAAATACCAGCTCTGATTTCTTTACATTTTTTAAAAAGATTTTCTTTATTTATTTGACACAGAGAGTTCACAAGCAGGCAGAGAGGCAGGCAGAGACAGGGGGAGAAGCAGGCTCCTTGCTGAGCAGAGAGCCTGGTGCAGGGCTCGATCCCAGGACCCCAAGATCATGACCTGAACCAAAGGCAGACGCTTAACCCACTGAGCCACCCAGGCAACCCTCTTTACATTTTTAAAATTTTATTTTATTTTCGGGACGCCTGGGTGGCTCAGTAGGTTAAAGCCTCTGCCTTCCGCTCAGGTCATGATCCCAGGGTCCTGGGATCGAGCCCTGCATCGGGCTCTCTGCTTCGCAGGGAGCCTACTTCCTCCCCTCTCTCTTTCTGCCTGCCTCTCTGCCTACTTGTGATTTCTCTCTCTGTCAAATAAACAAAATCTTTAAAAAAATTTTTTTTAATTTTTCTTTTAAAGAATTTATTCATTCATTTGACAGAGATCACAAATAGGCAGAGAGGCAGGCAGAGAGAGAGGAAGGGAAGCAGACTCCCTGCTGAGCAGAGAGCCAGACGTGGGGCTTGATCCCAGGACCCTGGGACCATGAACCGAGCCAAAGGCAGAGGCTTAACCCACTGAGCCACCCAGGCGCCCCTTTAATTTTATTTTTAAGTAAATTCTATGCCCAACATGGGGCTTGAACTCATAACCCTGAGGTTAAGGATAGCATGCTGTACTGACTGAGCCTGCCAGGTACCCCATACCAGCTCTGATTTTAAAAGGATTGGTGTGAGTGGGGACAGGGAGAGAATCAACCAGGACAAGAGTACAGGATGTCTTTAGGGTGGGCTAAAAGTTAAGGAAGAAAGTCAGGTAAGCAGGGGGCAGTTGGGAGGGTGGATGAGTTCAAAAAGAAGAGGGCTGTGGGAAACTTTGGGGTGATGGGACCCTTGGTAAGGATGGTTGGCAAACCATGTGTGTGGGCAGGAGAGTGGCCCCACCCAGTTAATGACCAGTCAGGTTTTCAGGGCTGGAATCATGCAGGGAACTAGACAGTGCAGAAAGAGATTGAGAGTGTGAAAATGACACTGGGAGTCCTGAAGAGACAGAAAGAGGAGAGACCAGCAGTACTCACTAGCCTCCTCTTGTCCTCCCTGAGTTCCCAAGTTTGGGGAGAATCTGGAAGGAACAGTAGTTCTGGGCTGCAGAAAGGCCCTCTCCCTCTTTGACTCTTGCAGCTTCTGGGGGAGAATGTGTAGGAGGAATGATGTGGAAAAGAGGAACCTGACCCTTCCAGACATGTCTGTGAATGAGATTTCAGGGATGGGAATGGAAATACAGCTGTGCACCAGCATGGCAGAGGGCCACAGGTTAGACATCTGGACCCAAACACAGGAAGGAGATCATCCTTGCTTGGAGCTCTGAGTATCTGAGTAAGAAACGGGGAGATAGACTGAGATCAAAATGTTCCCTCTGTGCTTCCTCTCTGGTTGTACCTCTCCCAGCATTTATTAGTCTCTCTGACCACATCCTCCTATCCTTATGACCCTGCCCCCCAGGTCTGTGCTCCCCCTTTAATCTGGATGTGCATCGCCCACGCCTATTCCCAGGGCCACCTGAGGCTGAATTCGGATATAGCGTCTTACAACATGTCGGGGGTGGACGTCGATGGTGAGGAGGAAACCAGAGGGCTGTGGGATTGGACTGTGGTAGAGCTCTTAAAGGGAAGGCAAGGCAGATGGGAATCTAAATGACTCTGGTCTTTTGGAATTGTCTTGCTACCCTTACACGTTTTCCCTTCGGCCTGTCTGAAAGGTCATGTTCACAAAATGCTTATACTCATGTCCTCCTCCAGGATGCTGGTGGGTGCCCCCTGGGATGGGCCTTCAGGTGACAGAAGGGGTGATGTTTATCACTGCCCTGTAGGAGGTTCCCACAGTGCTCCATGTGCCAAAGGCCACTTGGGTAAGAAGATGCCTCACTCTTCCCCTCCTAACCCCTAACCTGATAGGCTAGTAGCCACCTCATGTTCACCTCCATATCCTACATACTCCCTTGTCTTTGACTTGATCCTGATCTCATCCTCTTTCCAAATTGCCCTAAATTCAAGAACCTCATAGGGGACCCCATGATCTCATTCTCTTCCATCCCCATCCAACCAGGTGACTATCCACTGGGAAATTCATCTCATCCTGCTATGAATATGCACCTGGGAATGTCTCTACTAGAGACAGACAATGATGGGGGATTCATGGTGAGCTAAGGGAAGGGTGGTGGTGGGGGTCTCTGAAGGATTTTGGCAGAGAAAAGAGCAGCATGGTAAGGGAATCTGATCCATGTGGAGGGTCAAGGTCAAGAAGTTTAAAACCCTAGAAAGCAAGGAGGGGAACCCCAGAGGGTGGTTCCAGTGCCTCCTGGTTCCTAGGGGCAGTGCTGAGAGTGTGCTCCCAAGCCCTGGGGGTAACACTCCCCCCCCACCCCCCAGGCTTGTGCCCCTCTCTGGTCCCGTGCTTGTGGCTCCTCTGTCTTCAGTTCTGGGATATGTGCCTGTGTAGATGCTTCATTCCGGCCCCAGGGAAGCCTGGCACCCACCGCACAACGTAAGCAGAAGAAGGGCCTGAGGATTCAGTCCCAGAACCGGGTGCAGGGTGGGAAAAAGCTGGGGCAACAGAGTATGATGCTGGACAGGGGGCCTGCGTAACTTTCCTCATTGTTTCCTAAGGTTCCATGTTTCCTAACCGATTAGAATTCAGACTCTTTGCCAGGGCATCAAGACTCCATGAACAGATCTAACCAACTTCAAAAACTCAACTCTCACCGTATCCTTCCACGCACTGCACCTTGGCCATGGCATTTCCCTCCCCATTCTCCCCTTGTTATCTATTTTATACCTCCTGTCCTTTTGTTTAAAGTGTTCTCCATGCAAATGCCTTTTCTTATATTCTCCTCTCCTCCAACGTCTTCTGTTGACACCTCCTTTGACTCCCTACCATCAGAACTGACCCTCTGTTGTCCTACAGCATTGGTGGTGCCCTGTTTTTACCTAGCCCTTAATTCCTCCTCCTCCTCCTTTCTTCTCCTTCTTCTTCCTCTTCTTCTCCCTCTTCTCCTACTTCTTCTCTTTCTTCTTCTAGTAAATTGTATGCATGCCTGTCTCCTCTTTTACTCATTTCTACATTGACCCAGGGCCTAGCACACTACCTTCCTTGCATGTTCAGAAGTGCCTAAAACGTGTTTGAATGGAATGTACACTCCTGTGACCTCTTCCCTTGTTGTCCCCATGCCCAATATCTTTCTACCCCTCTGGTCCTCATTGCAACCCCTTCCTCCTAGGCTGTCCCACCTACATGGATGTTGTCATCGTCTTGGATGGCTCCAACAGCATCTACCCCTGGTCTGAAGTTCAGACTTTCCTGCGAAGACTGGTAGGGAGACTGTTTATTGACCCAGAGCAGATACAGGTAAGAGACGGCAATATGGATGGCCTTGTAGGGGTAGAGATGGCAGGGATGGGGGAGGAGTGGAGGTGAATGTAGGCAATGTCTTTGGGAGTATCCAAATGCCCCTCTCCCTGCCCTCACATACTGTCTTCTCCCTCAGTATATGCATTGCATGTGAGGGCGCACATTGTTTTCAGGTGGGTCTTGTACAATATGGGGAGAGCCCTGTGCATGAGTGGTCCCTGGGAGATTTCCGAACCAAGGAAGAAGTGGTGAGGGCAGCGAGGAACCTGAGTCGACGAGAGGGACGAGAAACAAAGACTGCCCAAGCAATCCTGGTGGCCTGGTGAGGCATTGGGAAGGGGAGCCTGGGAAGCCAGAGTGAGGAAGGCCTGGAAGGGTTAGGGGAGGGTCTGGAGTACGGCACATCTCATCACATTCTCATCACATTCTTCAAAGTGTCTAGGTTTGTGTCTTTCCATGTTTCTGATTTATTTATCACTGTAGCCAGAACTCTCCCTATCCCTGCACTCTCTGCCTTTGGGTTCTCCACCACTCATGTCCTATCCTGCTTGCCAAACATGATTCATACTCTCTGAGTGTGTCCTCTCTCCAATGGAATAGTTGCTGAATGAACCTACGAGTAAATGGATTTTGTACTTATTTGCGTGGAGGATATGCCGCTCTATATGTTCTATGTCATTCAAACGTTTTAGTCCTTACTGTATGCCAGTCCCCTTGCCGGACACTGTCAGGGAGATGGACTAAAAGGCGATGCCGGACTTCAGTGAACTGCTGACAGTGTGTGTGTGTGTGTGTGTGTGTGTGTGTGTGTGTGTGTGTGTTTGCATACACGTGATCACACCTCACTACTTTCTCTCTCTTCTCAGCACAGAAGGGTTCAGTCCGTCCCGTGGGGGTCGACCAGAGGCTGCCCGGCTGCTGGTGGTTGTCACCGATGGAGAATCGCATGATGGGGAGGAGCTTCCTACAGCACTAAAGGCCTGTGAGGCTAGAAGAGTGACCCGCTATGGGATCGCGGTGAGAATGTCCTCTGGACCTGGTGGGATGGCGGGGGGTGGTGACACTGAGGACTGGGAACTTGAAGAAGATGGGCAGTAAGCACTTCCCAAAGATCAGCCATCTTTCCCTTCCTTCACTTTGACTGCATTCTTGGGCCAGCTCTGACATCTCCCTCCGCATAGCTAACTGACCCCACCTGGATCTCCTGTCCCCAGGTCCTTGGCCACTACCTCCGGAGACAGCGAGACCCCACCTCTTTCCTGCAGGAAATCAGGACGATCGCCAGTGACCCAGATGAGAGATTCTTCTTCAATGTCACCGATGAAGCTGCACTGACTGACATTGTAGATGCACTGGGAGACCGGATTTTTGGCCTTGAGGGTAATGACTACCCTGGAGAAATGAGGGATAGGGAGGGGGCAGGCTGGGTGTAGGTGGGGTTCTGTGGTGAGTTCAGTAAGTCAGAGGAGATGTCTTCCCTGATACTGCCTTGATGTTTTCTCATGCTCAAGGGTCCCGTGGAGAAAATGAAAGCTCTTTTGGCCTGGAAATGTCTCAGATTGGTTTCTCTACTCATCGGCTAAAGGTTGGACAGACTCTGACCCTGCTGTGACCCCTCTCAACATCTGACTCCTCCCAACCTGAGACTCAGGCAACTTCACCCCAGGGCTCTTCTAGATTTCTCCTTTAACCAGTGTCCATGCTGACCCTTCCGTGCCTTTCCAACAGATCCCAGCATACTCTTAGTGACTTCTCACTCCTGGGGGTTTTACTCCTCATTTCCTGTTGTCTTTTCAAGAGTCCCCATCTGTTTCTGCCCAACAGGATGGGATTCTCTTTGGAATGGTGGGGGCCTATGACTGGGGGGGCTCCGTGTTATGGCTTGAAGACGGTCACCGCCTTTTTCCCCCACGGACAGCCCTGGAAGATGAGTTCCCCCCTGCTTTGCAAAACCACGCAGCCTACTTGGGTGAGTAGCGGAGGGTTGCAGGTGATGAGGGGGTGAGGAGGAAATGTTTCACCAGTGGGGGGTGTGAGAGCAGTGTCTCACCCATCTGCTAATCTCCTTGGGACCTCCTCCTGTGCCTTTAGGTAACCCTCCTACTCTGACCCCATCTTTTTACTCTTTCACCCCGATTCCTTGCCCACTTCTAGGTTACTCTGTTTCCTCCATGCTTTTGCGGGGTGGACGCCGCCTCTTTCTCTCAGGGGCTCCTCGGTTTAGACATAGAGGAAAGGTCATCGCCTTCCAGCTTAAGAAAGATGGGGCTGTGAGGGTTGCCCAGAGCCTGCAGGGGGAGCAGGTAGGGCATCCAAGGGAGGGTGGGACACTTGGAACCTGAGGGACCTTCAGGCTGTGGGGGAGGAAAGGGAAGGGCTAAGAGAGGAGCCTGAAAAGTCTGTTGAATTCTGGTTGGCAGAGTCTGTCAGGCGTGTGAGGACGAGAAGGGCAGGCTGGCAGATACCTCTCAATTTTCCACAATCACCTTGTCTTTTCTCTGGGGTCACCACTCCCCACCGCTCCCCAGATTGGCTCCTACTTTGGCAGTGAGCTCTGCCCATTGGATACGGATGGGGATGGAACAACCGATGTCTTACTTGTGGGTGCCCCCATGTTCCTGGGACCCCAGAACAAGGAAACAGGACGTGTTTATGTGTATCTGGTGGGTCAGGTGAGACTTGCTGGGTCCCCCTTGAACTTGTCTGCAGAGGAGGGCGTGAAGGGGAGAAGGGAGGGAAGTTTCTTCCATTCACAGGCTGGCTGAGAGGCTGGGACTACCAGGCCAGGTCAGCATCTTCTGTCTTCTCCCTCCACCAGCAGTCCTTGCTAACACTCCAGGGAACGCTTCAGCCAGAACCCCCCCAGGATGCTCGGTTTGGCTTTGCCATGGGTGCCCTTCCTGATTTGAACCAAGATGGTTTTGCTGATGTGGCTGTGGGGGCGCCCCTGGAGGATGGGCATCATGGAGCACTGTACCTGTATCATGGCACCCAGAGTGGGCTTAGGCCCCGGCCCGCCCAGGTCAGGAGTGTCCGGATAAAGCAGGGAAGTGGGTGGAAGGAAGGAGTAGGGGGTGTGCTCCTCGTTCATTGGTGTTTCCCTGACCTTGCAACCCAAAATGGACAAGTATTTTTTTTATCAGTAGTTGGGTAGGATACAGTTTGCTGTACTAGGGAGTCCTGGACATAGGCTAGTTTCTCTTATTCCTTCTTATTCTCTCTCTCTCTCCTTTTAAGATTTTATTTATTTGAGGGGGAGAGGCAGAGGAAGAAGCAGACTCTCCACTGAGAAGGGAGCCCGATGCAGGGCTCTATACCAGGACTTTGGGGCCATGACTAGAGCCAAAGCCAGATGCTTAACCAACTGAGCCACCCAGGCGTCCCCCCCTTCTTATTCTCTTATTCCTTATTGTGTGCCAGGTGTGTGGCCTGGGTCCCCAGGCGTGAGTGTCCCTGCTCAGTTTCTCCTTTCTTCCTCTCAGAGGATTGCTGCCATCTCCATGCCACAGACCCTCAGCTACTTTGGCCGCAGTGTGGATGGCCGGCTGGATCTGGATGGAGATGACCTGGTAGATGTGGCTGTGGGGGCGCAGGGGGCAGCCGTCCTGCTCAGGTGAGCCGTCCCAGCCCAGGACTATAAGCTGTGAAAAGCAAGGGCTTGGGAGCCACAGACTGAGATTTGGATTTCTTTCTTTTCTTTTCTTTTTTTTTTTTTTTTAAAGATTTCATTTATTTGCCAGAGAGAGTGAGCAAGGGAGAGCACAAGCCGGGGGGAGGGGCAGAGGGAGGGGAAGGAGCAGGCTCCCTGCTGGGATGATGCCCTGATCTGAATGTAGACACTTAACCTACCCCACGGAGCCACCCATGCACCCTAGATTTGGATTTCTTGACCAATTTACTCTGTTCCTCCATTTCCTAGTTCTGAAAATGGGAACAATCACAGTGCCTACCTCATAGGCTTGTTCTGAGGATCCAGTGCCCCCGTGGGGTAAAGATCTTGACGCGGTGCTTAGCGTACGGCAAGCATTTCTTCAATGTCAGCTATTCTCTTTCTGCCAGAAGATTCTGGGGAGGGTGACACGTGTACATCCAGCTCCTCGTTCTTGTCCTTGACCTTTGGGAGGCCAATACTGGGGACTGCCTTTTTCAAAGGGCTTTCCTCTTGGCTAGCATTTCTTCCCCACCCTGCTCCCAGCTCCCGGCCCATCGTCCACCTGGCCCCCTCCCTGGAGGTGACCCCGCCAGCCATCAGTGTGGTTCAGAAGGACTGCAGCCGGCGAGGCCAGGAGGCAGCCTGCCTATCTGCAGCCCTTTGTTTCCAAGTGACCTCGCGCACTCCCGGCCGCTGGGATCACCGATTCTGTGAGTGACCCAAGCATCCTAAGCACCTCTCAACCCAGCCTGCCTCGGTCCCTGGACCCCTCTTCACCCTCGCTCCTACCTGCCCCATCCAGATCTGCGCTTTACAGCATCCCTGGATGAGTGGACAGCAGGGGCACGCGCCGTGTTTGACGGCTCTGGCCAGAGGCTGTCCCCACGGCGGCTCCGGCTCAGTGTGGGAAATGTCACTTGTGAGCAGCTGCGCTTCCACGTGCTGGTGAGGAGGGGGTAATGCTTTGTTAGCCACAGGGCATGGGAGCCAGGGGAAGGCTGACTGGAGGAGGAATTCCTGCTGGACTGGCCCAAAAGCCAAGGCCAAGGCGGGAAAGTGAGGAAGGTCAGCCTGATCTGGGTTTGAAGCCTAGCTCCGCCCTCTACTGCCTGTGAACTCTGGCAAGTCACACAGCCTGCACACCTCAGCTTCCTGGCCTCAGAGGAGGAGATACTAATGATAACTACGTCAAGGGAGTTGTGTTAGAATCCCGTGTAATGAGATTGATACCTTAGGACAGTACCCAGCATACAGAAGGTGCTCAGTCATCCCATTGTGCCAGGGGCCAGGGTTATACACCTAAACCTGGCTCCCCAAGATCCTCTACTCTGGTTTTCCTCAGGATACCTCCGATTACCTCCGGCCACTGGCCTTGACTGTGACCTTTGCATTGGACAACACCACAAAGCCGGGGCCTGTGCTGGATGAGGGCTCACCCACCTCCATAAGAAAGCTGGTCAGCGGTGCCAAGCCCCACCCCACCCCTGGGTCCCAACACTGCCCCTCTCAGTGAATTTGAGAGACATGGAGGGTGGACACCTGATAGCACAGCAAAATTTGACCTGGGCCTCCGCTCTTCTCTTTTCACTTTGCCCCAATTCCATTCCTTTCTCCTTGCCTTCCTATCAGTCCTCACCCCCTTCTTTCCCCTTTAGGTCCCCTTCTCAAAGGACTGTGGCCCTGACAATGAATGTGTCACAGACCTGGTGCTTCGGGCTAGTATGGACATCAAAGGCTCCAGGTGAGACAGACATGAGCTAGCCCAACCAGGGTGACCTGAGACAGATGGGAAGGAACTTGAAGGGAGCAAGAGGGTTGTTTCTTGCCCAGGTAAGCAGAAGTGATGCTTTTCACAGCTTTTCAACTCCTGGGCTCTCCCTTATCCTAGGAAGGACCCATTCGTGGTTCGAGGGGATCGGCAGAAAGTGCTGGTGTCAGCAACCCTGGAGAACAGGAAGGAAAATGCCTACAACACTAGCCTGAGTCTCAGCTTCTCTAGAAACCTCCACCTGGCCAGTTTCATGCCTCAGGTGCCTGGGGCAGAGGAGGTTTGGGAGGAGTCAGGGTGGGAGGAGAATGGAGATTGAGGTATTGACCTGGGCTGTGAAGGGCTCCAGAGAAAGGCTCAGTGTTTGGAGGCTGCGGGCAGGAGAGCCCCTGCAGCCTCAGCTCTGGCACCACCCCCACTCTTCTGCTCTCAGAGGGACAGCCCAGTGAAGGTGGAATGCACCACCCCTTCTCCCCATGTCCGGCTCTGCAGTGTGGGGCACCCTGTCTTTCGGACTGGAGCCAAGGTGAGTGGGGGCCCAGAACGAGAAAGAGAGAGCAGCTCTGAGACAGCAGGGGCTGGAATCTGCGGGGCCTGGGAATTTAGGGAAGGGGTACACAAGAGCTCCTGGTGCCCTGCTGTCCTGCCCTGCTGGCCTCATGAAGAGGAAGAGACCATGACCCCATATGACCCCAGGTGACCTTCCTGCTGGAGTTTGAGTTTAGCTGCTCTTCCCTCCTGAGCCAGGTCCTTGTGAGGCTGACTGCCACCAGGTGAGAACAAAGGGAACTTCCTCCCAGGTCTCTCCTGTTGGGGCTTGTTGGGGGGAAAGGGTATATGAGAGGGGGCTAGGACGTGAGCCTCTCCCTCTAACCCTACAGCAATAGCCTGGAGAGAAATGGGACCCTTCAAGATAACACAGCCCAGACCTCAGCCCACGTTCAATATGAACCCCACCTTCTATTCTCCAGGTATGGCTCATCTCCCTGCTAGCCCTCCATTCTGACCCCAGACTCATACTCTAAGTTTCCTTCCTTTTCTTCCATGTGTTTTGGTGTTTCCCCCAAACCCTTGGGGCTGCTCCATCTTTTTGCCCTCAATCCCACTCCAGTTGAAATATTTAAGCAACTTACTTTCCTAGGTATAGTTATACCTATGTATCCTAGGTTTAGGGCTTTGCTCTAGGCCCTGGGGATTGCAGGTGGGGTGAGGGGTATGGGATGTGGCCATCAAGTTTGTGCCAAGTCCATGTCATATCCCATTTCGATCTTCTTTATGTACCACCATCTCTTTATCCATGTGCTGGTTCTGCCTTCCCTGAATCCGTGTCTATGGGCTGATCATGTGCCCCTGTGTCTGTGTCATGGCTGTGACTGTGTTCTTCTGACTTGGTGTCCACGCAGTGAGTCCACTCTGCACCGCTATGAGGTTCACCCATACGGGACCCTCCTGGTGGGTCCCGAATTCAAAACCACTCTTAGGGTGAGAAGCTGGAGGGACCTTGCATGAGCAGGGGGAGGGGGAGGAGTCTCTTTTCATTTTCCAGTGGCACCTAGGGGAAAGGGGAACAGATGAGGAAGGAGCTTCTGTCTCCCACTTCTTCCCATTTCCAACCCTCCTCATAGGTTCAGAACCTTGGCTGCTATGTGGTCAGTGGCCTGGTCATCTCAGCCCTCCTTCCAGCTGTAGCCCATGGGGGCAATTACTTCCTGTCATTGTCTCAAGTCATCACAAACAATGTAAGTCTGGGCTAAGGGTGTATGGAACCCTACCACCTCAACCTGGTGAATTTCCCCAGTCCCTCTATCTGCTGGGCCACTGCTCTCAGGACCCCTCACCCTGGGGGACCTTTCTTTAACACATGTGGCGTACGTGGGGAGTATACGTGGGGAGTGTGCTCCTGCTCAGCCTGGAGTAGCTGGCCTCTCACCATCAAGAGGGTCACTCAAGGAGCGCCTGGGTGGCTCAGTCATTAAGCGTCTGCCTTCAGCTCGGGTCATGATCCTGGGATCCTGGGATCGAACCCCGTGTGCAGCTCCCTGCTCAGCAGGAAACTTGCTTCTCCCTCTCCCACTCCCTCTGCTTGTGTTCCCTCTCTCGCTGTCTCTCTCTGTCAAATAAATAAATAAAGTCTTTAAAAAAGAAAAAAAAAAAAGAGGGTCACTCAAATTGCATCTCCCTGTAGGCAAGCTGCACGGTACAGAACCTGACCAAGCCCCCAAGGCCCACTGCGCACCCAGAGGAGTTTCAGCACACAAGCAGACTGGTATGAATCACAAGAAGGTGAAGAAGATGTTCAGAGTGGGAATGCAGTGGGGAGTGGTAGACTTCAGAGACTTGGGACAGGGGAGTGGGGAGTAGGTGGTTTTTCCACCCCAAGATCTTTATCTGGTTCTCTCTTCCGGCAGAATGGGACGAACACTCGCTGTCAGGTCGTGAGGTGCCATCTTGGGCGACTGGCAAAGGGGACTGAGGTCTCTGTTGGACTACTGAGGCTGGTTCACAATGAATTTTTCCGGAGGGTAAATCTTTTCTTCCACTCTTCTCTTCCACTCCTTCCTGGAACTTCAGCCTAGTCTTTGGAAAAGACTCATGTTCAAGTTCCACCTTTGTCTCTCACGAGCTGTTGGACCTTAAGCAAGTTATTTTATCTCTCTCATTCTTTCTCTCCATCTCTAGAGTGGGGAAGATAATACCTACTTCATGGGGTTGTAAAGAACAAATGAATAATGAGATGGATTCATTAAAACTAGTTATTGTCCCTATATTTTCCTCTGTTTATCATCCCTTGTGTTATATCAATAACCAACATTTATAGGATACCAAAATTTAGCCAATTAATTAATTAATTTTTTGTTTTTAAAAACTTAAATAAAAAATATTTTGTTATTAATAATCTATCAAGAGCCTACTATGTAAAAGGACCTGTATTAGGCAGACACTGAGGAGAATATCCCCAACACTTAGCACCATGCCTAACTCATTATAGTGGCCCAATACATGTCTCTTAAATGAATGAATGGATAGTTGATATTACGTGCATGATAGGTATTGGAGGGTACTGGGAGGCAAGACTGTAGAACTGAAACGGATCTAGGTTATGAAAGTTCTCCAAAGCTAGGGAGATGAAATTCAACTCAATGTGATAGGCAGTCAGGAGTCAGTGTGAGTTTCTAAGTAGGGAAATGACATCTTAATTATAACAGCTATTAATTATAACAGCTATAACAGCTATGAGGGGTGATTTACTGTGAATAGCACAAGATCCCTGGGATGTAGGCATATTTTATGGGAAAGTTAAGTCTGAGACACCATCCTTCTCCAAGTCTGGTTCTCTATCACTCTTTGGTATCCATTTTTCATTCATTCATTTATTTTTTCAATAAAGCTTTATTGAGAAACCAGTGTGTACTTGAGAGTGTGTTAGGCACTAGGCACTAGAGACACAGATGTTTATGAGACAGAGCTCTTGACTTCAAGGATCTTCTAATCCAGTGGTGAAAGACAGAGATGTAAACAGAATATCATGACCTAATCCAGGGTGACGGAGGTTAGAAGGAAACACTTCCTAATTCCCAGAGGGGATGAACTCTAAACTTCAACCTGAAGAAAGGGCAGGGGTTAGCCAAAGAAAGGGGAGCTAAATAATACTGGGTAGGGCGAACACATATATGAAGGGCCAGGGGCTCATCCCTCTATTACCCTTCCTCTCTTTCTCCATTGATCTTCAGCCTTTTCTTCTCGTCTAAAAGATGCTGGAAGTTATGCCTACCAGCCTCATCTTTGCTATTGGGGTTCTAAGACCACACCACCTATGATGGCTCATTTTCAATGTCTTCCACAGGCCAAATTCAAGTCTCTGACAGTGGTCAGCACCTTTGAGCTGGGAGCTAAGGAGGGCAGTGTCCTACAGCTGACAGAAGCCTCTCGTTGGAGTGAGGTGGGACAGGATCCTGAGTTTGAGAGCCATGGAAAGAGTGAGGGTGGGAATGCAGCAAGGGCACCTGGGGGCTTTTTTAGAACAGAGATATCCTCATAAGGCAGCAGCTGGGGAGTCAGAAGGGATAAATCAGGACACTGGGGTCCCACTCCCTTTATTCCTGCCTCAGTTTCTTTCTTTTTATTCTATTTCGAGGCTTCTATTTCACCCTCATATGTGAGGTGAGGCTAGCTGGGAGAAAGGATATCAGTACCAAACAGCTCTCCTCCCTATACAGAGCCTGCTGGAGGTGATTCAGACGCGCCCTGTCCTCATCTCCCTATGGATCCTCATTGGCAGTGTCCTGGGAGGGCTGCTCCTGCTTGCTCTCCTTGTCTTCTGTCTTTGGAAGGTAAGCACAGCTTTGGTGGTAAGTATGGGACATGACACCTGTGAGTTGAGGGCTCCTGGAATATGGCAGGGAGAACTGGATTTGTGCTGGCGAGCTAAGTAGGCTATGGGTGTTCTGCCCGGATCTCTTCCACTATACTCTACAAATGTTGGCTGAATGAAACTAAGCCAAATAAAATAAACTAGAATCTCATTTTTGGGAGCAGAACAAAAGTGAAGATTTCAGATATGTCTGAGGGCCCTTGGCAAGGTCCCCAAGGAAGACATTGGGTGATGACTCTTCTCTCTTCCTCTACAGCTTGGCTTCTTTGCCCGAAAGAAAATCCCAGAGGAAGAAAAAAGAGAAGAGAAGTTAGAGCAATGAACGTAGAATAAAGCCCTAGAAAGTCCTCTTGGCAGCTTCTCCAAAAGACTTGAGTGAGAGCTGAGGTTTGGGGGCTCAGCTGGACAAGAAGAGCCTCTAGACTGTCTCCCCAGACCTGCAGCCTGACTTGACTTTTGAGTCATGAGGATGCTGCTGGCATGAGATGAGGCCTTACCTCAGAAGACAAGGGCTGGCACCCAAAACAGAAACACTCTCCCCCTGTGCTTCCCTTCTCAGGATCCCGCTGCCACAGTCAACCCTGAGGCCTTGGTTGGGTGCCCCTTTTTCCTTATCCCCAGGAATCAATAATTTTTTTGCCCAGGTTCCCTGGTATCTTTTAGATTCCCCCTACAATCCTCCCTCACATTTGGAAAGGGTGAGGGCAGATCCTCCTCCATTCCCTGCCTCTCACCTTCCTGTCTGCTCCCCACTCCACAGAAGGGAGCTGACGTTGGCTTCAAAAAGTAAAGTCAACATCTGCTGCTTTCCTGTGGAGTCTGGTGATTCAGAGAGCCGGATGGGGAGAGTCAACAGGAAAAAAGGAGGGAGGAGGAAAAGCCACAAGAGACATTCTGTACAATTCCAAGGAACAGAGAAGTCTTTAGATGGGCAACTGCCATCCCCCTGAAACCTGAGACTTCATGGTGCCCTGGCCCGCCCTCAGGTGCCTGTGAAATGGAGCTGCCCCAGGCCTTCGGGGCATGGGTTTCCCAACTCGAGGCCTTCCCTGGGAGCAAAGCCAGGGCAGGGCTCCTGATTCTCCGGAGCCACGGGCCCCCAGGTGGCTAGAGCTGGAATAGCAGAGAAGAGTCTTGTTGCTTTGGTCATGGCCAGTGGAGAGAGTTGGATACCCTGGGGGGTGTTTTCTCCTCTCTCGGGTCTCACACACTCAAGAGCCCTTCTTAGGGTCACCTTCTAGAAACCAGAGAGAAGGGAGATGATTTCCTCTTGATGGTGGGAAACCCTTTCACCGGCTTCGGGAAGCAGCAGCTCCATGGGGGTCTAAACACCCCAGAGACCCTAGTCACGTCTGCATTGATGGAGAAGCCAAAGTGGGTGGCAGGAGGTCTCTGGGGAGCAAGCCCTTATCTGCTTATCATTGGTTGTGTGGCACAAATAGCTCCTAGGAAAATGTTTCTGGGGCCACTGAAGTCATTCCTGGTAGGGCTTCTCTGGTGGAATCAGTTTGCCAGCCCTTGCCTGATATTTACTGGAAAGTTCCAATTTCCATCTCTGGGTCACCTGGTGAGGTGGTTCTGACCAGTAGTAGAGCGAATTAGATTCTCCACCAATGACTGAATAACGTATATTTCTTTGTCATCAAGACTTTGGATACCAAAGTCTGTTATTGGTCTCCAAGCTGTGGCTCTGATGGCCATTTGAAGAATCTGCACCTGTTTTGTGCTGAGAGGAGAGGAGACCTGATGGGCAGTTGACCAGCAGCCACAGAACTTGTTCTTCAGGGCTGTTCTTGTGGCCTGGGCACAATGTTTATCTTGGCACGTCTCTGGTCTTCTGCATAGGACATTGTCTCTGTTTCCTAGTAGTGTGGACAGCGTATCAGATGGTCAGAACAAATAAAGTTCAGTGTCAAATTACGTCTGGCTCTCTTTGAGTTCCCTAGGATATGGACTGCTCAGGAATGGTGAGAGAAAGATTCTCGGATTGTCCGAGACCTTATACAGTTGAGTTCCTGGAAGGCAAAGTTATAAGATATTCGGAATGTTTTCTGTGATTCTCTCCCTGGAGATGTCTTCTAGCCTCCTGCAATCCTCATCTAGTTAAGTGACTACAGACTATAAATTGTGTAGGTCTGGTAAGCACATAGGCCTATATTGAAACCCCAGGTCTGCCATTTATTAGCTGTGTGGTCTTGGGCAAGTCATAACTACCCTGAGGCTCACATAGCAGTAAGAGGTACAGTGATTAAGAATGAAGACAGAGGGGCACCTGGGTGGCTCAGTGGGTTAAAGCCTTTGCCTTCAGCTCAGGTCATGATCTCAGGGTCCTGGGATCAAGGGTCCTGGGATCGAGCCCCACATTAGGCTCTCTGTTCAGCAGGGAGCCTGCTTCCTGCCTGCCTCTCTGTCTACTTGTGATCTCTCTCTGTCAAATAAATAAATAAAATATTTTTAAAAAATGAAGACAGACTTGGGTTTAAATCTCAGCTATACCACTTTTTGACCTTGGACGGATTTAATTTATTTAAGTCTTGGCTTTCTTGTCTTTAAACTTACTAAGGTTGTGGGGCACCTGGGTGGCTCAGTGGGTTAAAGCCTCTGCCTTCGGCTTGGGTCATGATCCCAGGGTCCTGGGATCGAGCCCCACATCGGGCTCTCTGCTCAGCAGGGGGCCTGCTTCTCTCTCTCCCTCTGCCTGCCTCTCTGTCTACTTGTGATCTGTCTGTCAAATAAATAAATACAATCTTTAAAAAAAAAATAAACTTACTAAGGTTGTGAGGACCAAATGAGATAATTCAAGTAAAGTGAACATATACTAGGTACTCAATAAAGGTTAACTGTTGTTATAAAAATATTTTGTTATAAAATAATCAGCCTTCCCTGTGTATCATGAGGATTAAGTCAGAAGGTCTACGGAAGCACCGGGTATGTTCCTAATCTGGTGACCCACCTCCCCTTCACACAGGCCCTGAAGATTTGTTTCTCCTGTGTGTTATTGTCTCCTGATGCTAAATCTTATCCCATGCTTCATCCCCTTTGACATAAGCCCTCATGCCCACTAAGACCATTAGAAGGTTCTAGTGGTAGAAATCAAGTCTACTTGATTTTTTTTAGTCATCCAGTGTTCTTCTAGTACCTTCGAGGGACATGTGCACGTAAGCAACGGTCTTAGAAATAAGACCACGTCTCTCTCTCTCTGTTGCTTAACTCCAAAAATGGTGGCTGGCCCAGCCAATAGGCAGAGACAACCATTCTGTGGCAAGCTGGTGAGTTATTTGTGGCAGGAGGAGTCCATGGTGACCCTCAGTGCACTTCACATAAGCTATTGCTTGACCAGCCTTTGTGGAGCATACACTTTCTGATGTGGTAATGTGGACAGATCTCCCCCTCTTTATCCCCAATCAGCACCGAAAGGTAGATGGATTTCTTCGAGGACTGGTTCATCTAATTCTTTATCCATGTGATTAAAAGAGCATTTTAAATATTTTCCCCACCTAGAGGTCCCTCTCTTCTCTAGCCTTGAGCTCCAGAATGGGACTTTCTCTAACCCACACTATCCTTCAGTAAGCTTGTTACCTCTTCCTTTGAGGCAGCGCTGTTTTGAGAAGCCACTGTGGAAAGAACAGGCTCTCCTCAGACACAGGAGTATCCCTTCCTTTCTTCTCTGTTGCTTCTTCATCCCCTCCTTCATCTTTCACTCATTCACTCATGAGCCATTAAGCACCTACCATGTGCCCGGCAATGAGAACAATATAAAACACCACTCCTACGACCAAAAAGCCCAGTCTTGTAGGAAAAACAAACATGGAAACAAATAATGGCAAAGGTGGTTGCTATGCAACATGGCAGCAAGGATTAGAAGCGTGTCCTGCACAAGAGGTGTGCTTTTTTGAGCAGGGGTGGCAGAGTTGTAAGGGAAATCTTTACAGAAAAGAAAGTGGCTTGGGGGGCCACCAAGTGTGAGAGCAGGCGTTCCAAAGAGTATTAATCACCAGTGGGGAAGGGAGTGGTAGTGGCTTAGGACAGCCTGAACATGGGGCTGTTTGTGGACATGGGAGGGGGAGACTGGAGAAGGCAGGGTATGGCGTCTGCTGTGCCTTGTAAGCCACATGAAGAACTCAGCTTTAGCAAGTAGCCTTTCGGCTTCCAGACCTTTGAATGGTGGCTCTGGCCTCAGGGAAGAGAGGATGTTGGGGGATCTTTGAGCATGATAGTCAAGAAAGAATTTTTTTTTTTAAGTAGGCTCCATGCCCAGCATGAGGCCTGAACTCACAGGCCTGAGATCAGGAGTCATGTGCCTCACTTACTGGGTCAGCCAGGTGCCCCAAGAAAGAATTCTTGAGACCCTGTATGATGCAGCTGAGTAAGCATTGGTAAGTAGGACAGGGGTAGGACCCGTGGGCAGAAGGAGCTGCACTTTTGCTGTATGAAGCTGGTGCTTATATGCTTAGTGCTCAGGAAGGAGAGGATGCACAGGGAGTATTAGATTGTAAGTATTGTCTTCAAATTTTTACTTGTAAAATTACCTTCTCAAGATTTCTCTGCTGATTATCATTCAGTTCAATATTAACCTGGTAAAATTTACAGGCAGTGATGAGACCCTTTAAGAATGTAGTAACCAGGGTTGTCTGAGTGGCTCAGTTGGTCATGATCATGATCTCAGGGTCCTGAGATTGAGTCCCTCATCAGACTCCCTGGTCAGTGGGGATCCTGCTTCTCCCTCTCCCTCTGCCTGCTGCTCCCACTGCTTGTGCTCTTTCTCTCTGTCAAATAAATAAACAAAAACTTAAAAAATAAAAAAGAATGCAGTAACCAGCACGAATTTGATCCTTACCAAATCTATGCAGACCATAGGTGATCTTTTGGGCTAAAGGTGAACATGTTTCTGCTTCTGTCCCTCATCATTTCCCCCTGATCAATCTTCGGCCCTTAAATCTTTAAGCTTGTTGAAAGACAAAGGGCTCATTTTCTATAACTTCTTCAAGCTGACAGGGGTTGTAGAGATGTCCTTACCTACGGACTGATCTATCTCTACAAGTAACTATTATGGAAGTCCACTGCTGTAGAGTCCAGAGGGGACATTGGTTTGAGTAATAAGGCTCATCTATTGGCTGGGCAAAGAAGTCAAGAACTGCTTGCATGTATATCAAAAATAGGAGAGAACAAAGCAAAAGAGGCAACATATTAGAATTCATATTATAATAAAAATAAGAAGTGTGATAAGAAGACCCTTTAGGGTGGACCACAGTCCACCTCCTGACCAGGAATTTAACCAACCATTAAGACCTTTAAGACAATGGAGGGTCTTTAAGAGCACTGATTTGGTTATTTATATCAGTAAGTCATCCTGTTATATTTTTGTCATCATCTGGAATGTGGACACAACATTCTACTTTAATAATGTCACATGTTCCTCCTTATGCTGCTGTTAAGACATCTATTGCCATTCTATTTTGTAGAAATGCTTTATACATCGAGTTACTTTAGTGCTTAATAATGTAATGCTATTCTGAGAGTCACTTAAGGCCTTAATTGTGTATTTATCAAGGGCCTCAGGATATGCCACATGACATCTTCTAAAACTACTGATGGAAGAAAAATAGATGTTGATGGTCATACCCGTGGAACACAGATCTTGTCCCTCATTGTTTTAGATATGGAAGATTAGCAGGACTGGCGCTAGTCTTAGTGCTATGGCCATGAATCCAGGAATAACTTGTAGTACATCTTCCAATCCAGCCTGATGCAAACCATGGCCACAGATTTGGCCCACATAACCATTGTGTTCCATTAGGTGCTAGCCTTCTGACATCTGGTCACCTTGTCTAGTCAGTAGCAAACCAACGGGTTGCCGGTAAAATAATGGTAAGCTCACAGGCTTCTTGGAGGGAGCTATCTCATTTGGAAAGTACTATTGGATCATGAATCAAAGGTATGGTTTTTCTGTTCCCAGCATAGTTGTCCTACTGTTGTTGTTGTTGCTTAGTTGTCCTACTGTAGGACTAAGCCATATATATCTGTCCCATACTTGTAATCTTTCCTGACTGTCTTGATAGGAAGCACTACATACTCAGGGAATTTGTTGTCATAAGCCCATCTGTGGGTTGGCATGTTCAGTTAAAATTTTGATAGTTTGAGGGGCACCTGTGTGACTCAGTCAGTTAAGCATCTACCTTGGGATCAGGTCATGATCTTAGGGTCCTGGGGTCGAGCCCTGCCTTGGGCTATCTGCTCAACAGGGAGTCTGCTTCTCCCTCTTGCTCTCGCTCACTCTCAAATAAATATATAAAAAATCTTAAAAAATTTTTTTGATAGTTTGAGGATAAGAGAAAGCCTTCTCATGGCCTGGAGAGTCCCATGTAACATTTGCCATAGGCAAAGAAACATACTCTTTAGTAGTAGAAATACTCCTATATATGCTGGAATTGGAGTGACTTCATGGTGGGTTTGGTTAAATGTGGCCACTGTATGCTTGGCTAAAGCCTCTACTTATAATTTTTTTAAAAGATTTTACTTTATTTGTTTGACAGAGAGATCACAAGTAGGCAGAGAGGCAAGCAGAGAGAGAGGGGGAAGCAGGCTCCCTGCTCGATCCCAGGACCCTGAGATCATGAGATCATGAGATCATGACCTGGGCCAAAGGCAGAGAGGCTTAACCACTGAGCCACCCAGGCATCCCAAGCCTCTAGTTGTAATTTTACATCTATAGATGTAAATATATATGTATATGTATATACATGTATATATACAGATATATATATACCTGGTTCCCAGGTATATATCCTGGTTCCCAGGATATATATGGCTAAGGGATAAAACCATTAGGAAGCCTTCTTTGCCTGATGTCCAGCCTTAACAATATCCTAATTTCAAGGAATCACTAGCAAGGGGGAGATGACTCGTCCTAGGAGATTAGG